TCATTTTATCAATCCCCCTAGCCCATTTGGTTATAACATCCATATCCCAGCCCCCATTTCCATGCCTAATTTACTCAGCTCTCAGAGGCTGGGTCCCTCATCTACACACCAGGTACCAGCTGGAGTCCAATCACTAAAACTCTCTACAATATTATCTTACCAATTACAAGTATCAATGAGGCCCAAAGCCTCCTGCTGCTAGGCCTTGCCAATTTATGGACGTTCTTGGAAATCAAAACTAGCCTAAATTAGGCTTAATTTGCCAGAAACCCTAGGACTGGTGTTATAGTTGACTTTATGTGAAACTTAACTGAGCCACGGGCTGCCCAGATATTGATTAAACATTATTCCTGGGTGTGTCTGTGAGGGTGTTTCTATATGAGATTAACATTTGAATCAATAGACTGAGCAAACAGACTGCCTACCCAATGTGGGTGGAACTTACCCGATCCATCAGAGACCTGAATAGAATTAAATGCCAAGTAAAGAAAGAATTTCTTCTCTCTTCAAAACTGGATGTTGGTCTTCTCTTGACTTCGGGCTTGTACTTGTACTAGAACTTACATTGTCGGCTCCTCAGTGCTCAGGTGTAGGGACTCCAACTGGACCTATACCATCGGTTCCCCTGGGTATCCAGGTTGCTTACTGCAGATCTTGGACTTCTCAGCCTTCACAATTGCACAAGCCAATTCATAGGGCAAATCTCTTTCTATATCTCATATTGGTTTCCTTATTTTGGAGAAGCCAGACTAATACAAATGGCTACTTGAATTACTGTTTCAGAATTATCTTCAACAATAAAAACAATAAACAAAAGGGCACAAATTAAAAGCGTTGACACTGAATTTACATATATGTAATGACTCATTTCTAAAAATAGTGGTGACTTAAGATCCTATGCCTGGTGTAGAATCTTACACAATTAGGTCAGCCCTCAAAGCTTATAAACTGCCAATCCTGACTAGTTCTATGATTCTTCTGTTGCTTATTGGTGTCTGATCGAAATCTAATTGTGCCTCCAAGACTAGTCTATATGACTTAGAACATTACTAGTAACAGATATTTGAATATATTTGATGCAATATATCAGTCAAATTCTCTAAGGCCAATACTAGTACCAATGATAAGACATTAAGAAGAAATGGGTATGTGGCTAAATTGAAAATTAGTCATACACAAGATTCCTCAATTTAGTGAGTAATTTATCTAGACAGCCTCTACGGTCCTATAAAACTTAAGATCCCAGAAGTTAGGTAGTTAAGAAATTGAAGTTTCTACCTTTAGCTTCTAATTCTAGGTTATTTAAAAAATTTGAGTATGTTAACATTAAGGGTTCAAAAAAATAAGAATGAAGGATTAGTTGGTAAGACAACTACTTAATCAAACAAATGCTAATTAAAAGGTTTTAAATTAATCCTATGAAAGACTTTAAGGCTTTCAGTTCTCAGTCTGAGATAGAAAAGATATGGGAGAAGATTTTGAATTAGTAAAAGTATAAGGATTCATCTGAAAAAGAAAAGATTTTAACAAGGTCAGTTCAGGCTAATAAATGACCTCAATATGATTTGGGATATAAAGTTAACAAATATATCAAAATCAAGAAATTCCCACTGAATCTGAAAATTTCCAAGAACTACTTAGAGTGGGACTAAAGTTATCCTGGCACTACTCAGAATACACAGCATAATTAGAAAACATGTGACGCTAAGTATTAGTTTTAAGATTAAGGTGAGTTCTGTGGAATTCTTTCCAAAAACTCAGAATTTAAGTATAATCATAAGAAAGATATCAGACAAACCCAAATTCAGAGATATTCCACAAAATATCTGAGCAATACATATTCAATACTGTTGAGGTCATGTGGGAAGAAAGGAAGACTGATAGCTGTCACAGGCGGGCGGAGACGAGGGAGCCACAACAACCAGACAATGCTCAACCTTGGAACAGAAGGACTTTCATGGAAAACTGGTAAAATCTGCATAATGTCTGGAGTTCATGGTAACATACTAATGTGGTTTCTTAATTTTTAAACACACCACAATGATGGGAGGTGGCAAAACCATGGTAAACCAGTACTGGGTAAAAGGTACATAGGTTCTCTGAACTGTACTATCTTTGAAACATTTCTATAAATCTAGAACTATCCCAAAATAAAAAGTTTCTTTCTAAAAAGGTAAAAATTCTCCACTCAGAACTATCAGACGATAATTCAAAGTTTATATTTACAATGATTATGACATAAAAATAACAATTCATACAACTTCACTGAGGAGCTTGACAAGCACAATAATTAAAATAATTAAACAACTTCTTCATAAAGCATGCAGTGTTAGAAAATATACTGCAGAAATAGATAATATCTATTTATAGGTAGACATGTTGGTAAATATTACAAAATGTTGATTTCTTTATCTTTTCATAGCATGACAGGAAGTGGGCAAGAGAGGAAGAAGGAATGGGTAGCAGTCAATATTTAATTATGCTCTATGTGTTTATTTCTAGTTAACTTAAGAAAATAAATGATAAAAAACATCAAATGTTTGAGTTCATACTATAACTGTTTCCAAGCACATAAAAATAATTTGGAGATAGGGTCTTTAAAGAGGTAATTAAGTTAAAAAGAGTGTTTTAGGGGAACTCCTAATCCAGTATGACTGGTGTCCTTACAAGAAGAAATTAGGACACACAGATGCACAGAGGGGATCATATGGAGACACAGGGAGAGGACAGCTATCCACAAGTCAAGGAGAGAGGCCTCAGAAGAAACCAACCCTGGTGACGCCTTGATCTTGAACTTGCAGACTCCAAAATTGTGTGAAGATAAGATTTTTGTTAATCGTTTTGGCTATCAACAAGACATCAAATGATCCAAGACTGAAAACACTTGGTAGGGTAAAAACAGCTGCCCATTTAAAAAGTTTAAGGACTTTTTCCACTTCTAATCTGAAGGTAAATGTCAGATCTCCACATCTAATAGGATGGGATCATTTGTGGCAGAAAAATACTCCAGCCAAGAAGAAGAAAAGTATATTTAAATTAAATAATTATCTGTCTGAAGACATCAGAAAGCTGCTGCTGCAACAATGTCTTGAGAGGCTAAGATTCTGAAGAAGGGTTAATTAGAGAGAGGTGATTTGAAGATTTGCAGTCATTTTCTCCCCTGAGTTTTAAAGATTCAAGGCATAGGCAATGGGCTGAGAAATCAGGCTCTGACCACTCAGAAGACAAAGGACAGAGAAATCATCCAGGCTTTTGGCAGTTATACACGGCAGTGACACAGTTAGGATATGAGACTTGTTCCCAACGCAAATCATTTGCTAAATCCTAAACCTTCTATCTGCATTCATTTCTTCTCAATTGAGCAACTGCAGTTGCTGTCCTTTCATGTTCCTTGGTCTTGTAGATTCTATCCATAATTATAGCTCCATTCTTCTGAATAACAACTTCTGTGTCTGCATTGTTTACTCTGTTCAGTAATTCCTACAATGTCTACCAACATCATTATATGTTGGTCAGAAGTTTTAATTATTTTTAATATATTTTACTTTATTTAGTTTTAATATATTTTATTTAATATAGGATTTGATTAATAGGCACATGTGAATTGTAAATTTCAATGGAGTTTTCCAGTCTTACAATGCTGAGGAGACAAACATTAGAATACAGGATCTGCCAGGAGTAGGTCTGTAGTGAATACTATGCTCTCAGTTTGGAAAGAAAGCCTTCCCTAAAGTACAAGGATGAACCACAAGCAGACCAAGACTTAAAAAAACTTCCACCCAGTCTCCATGGAAGATAGTTAAAACATTTTAGACAGTGATAGAAATGAACAAATAGGAAACTTTTTATAAAGTAGGAGCGAAAAGGACAATTGGTTAAGTGATAACCGTAAGCAGACAAGAAAAGATGTGAACAGTTTAGAAATAGAAAGGCTGCCCTTAAACAGAAGCATTAGTAAAAAAGAAAGGCAGTAGAAAAGGCAGAGTGTATGGGTAGAGATGCAGGTAGGCTGGCAGATGAAATGGTGGGACATGTTAGATAAAGAGGGGAGTGAGGACATGAGATGCTTGAAGGATAGGAAAACAGGTGGTAAAATAAATAGAGGTGTCCACTAGTGAAGTGGTAAATTTGCCAGAGTAAGAATTCTATAGTAAGTGATCTGGGAAAGTAGTAAGTGGTGGTCAGAAACAGGGAACGACTGCAGGGTGGATGGCAGAAGTAGTGTAAAGCACATGATGATGGGGGGAAAGAAATTCAAGGAGATGAGGGGCCAGGATATTGAAGGTTCATCTACATATTTAAACTTCCAAGAATTATTACAGGAGTAGGCTGAAGAAACAGCAAAATGGATCCTAAAAATCTTTAAGAAATTAGGGCAGGACTACAACAGGACTGTACAGTGCATCATACAAACTGATGCATGAGCTTCAAAGCTGGAGGTATTTAGAGAGGAAAAAGGAGCAATGATCTAAAAACACTAATAAGGAAGAAGCGTCCAAGCCCACTGGCAGAACTGTTGTGGGAGGAAATACACTCACTCCTGGAGAGCATTGCAGTGGAGGCAGCATCCTTGGGGAGCTAATCAGGTTGCAGAGCAGGAAGGTATAAGTCATGTTCAGAAAAGAACACACTTAATAATTTGATTCACTTACCGGTGTTTATTAAAAGACACTGAATTAGGCACTGGGAATAAAACAGTAATAAAGACATAATCTCATCCCTCACAAAACTGTAACTCAAGTAAGAAGTCTCATATAAATGCGATTACTTTAAAGAATATAAATTTTTATAACAAATGAACAGTTTTATTACTAGGATGCACTTATTTGAAGGAGTAACAGAATATGTGATTATTTCAACATATCTAATCATTGTGGTATTGACCATGTGCTAAACACTAAGTTGAATTAAGAATATATGGGGAAAGGTCATTTTTTAATGATAAAGAAAGAGGGGAAAATGGTATTTGCTTTTCAGAATAAGACACATGCAGTTATTACCTGTGACAAAGCAGCATCTCGTTCCTCTATCACTGCATTCATTTCTTCTGCAGTTATTCTCTTTTTATATTCCTTGGTCTGGTAGATTCTATCCACAATTACAGCTCCATTCTTCTGAATAGCTATCCCGGTGTCTGCATTGTTTATTCTGTTCAGTAATTCCTGCAATGTCTACCAACACCATTATATGTTAGTCAGACATGAAGTTTTAATATATTTTATTTAATATAGGGTTTTAATTAATAGGCACATGTGAATTGTAAATTGACTGAGTGAAGTTATTGAATTTTCATATTGCAGCAAAGATGTACATTATTAGTGTGTCAATTCTTCTTCTTCCCACATCTTAGTTCTTGAAACCCACTCAATTGAACTTAAGCCTCTAAGATATAAGACTGACATCAAGAAATCTCCTCAGAGAATGGCTTACCATGTCATTTTCTTCAGGGTTAATATTTTCTAGCCTAGAAAAAAGGGACACAGAAAGCCTGATCAGTAGCATTTCCTTAGTGCAGCAAAATGAGTTCGCTTTTTAAATCTTTAGAACCTCAAGTAATTTCATTCGACTAGTCTTTAGAGTCAACGATGACACTGAACATATTAAAGTGCCACCTGCTCGACTCCATCTTTCAATAATGCTCCATATCTTCTGCACTGACTTCAGACTGTTAAGTTATTAATGTTTACTGCTATATATGACTACAAGGATCAATTGTTCATATGTGCTTAGATGAAGAAAGTTCCCCAGTGATAGAAGCACTCATTCTCATCATTATATTTATTCCTGGACTTCCAATTCTTACCAGAAACTGTATTTCCTCTGTTTTTTTCGACATCATCACAAATAAAACAAGGCAAGTATTTTTACTGCAAAGTTTAACTATGTTCTTTCTAAAGCAATGACAAATAATTACCATTAAACTTGACCTGAAAATCTCCCGCTGCTACCTATTCATGGAAACAAATATACTATACACAAAGGCTGACCAAAATTGCACCACATTTTAGCTATTATTTTCTTTTTCATTACATATATAGAGTTATTCAATTTAAAAACAAAAGAAGTAAATTGGTTTCCCTCATAAATGCATTTTTTCTTGAAAGAGGCATAGTGTGCTTAAATGTTGATGTTGGTGAATTGAACAAATGCAGTAAAGAAAGACATTCTAAACAACATATCTTAGAAAATGTCTGTAATATAATTTACACAACCAATAAATTTAGTTAATTAAATGAAAATCTGGAATGGGTATTAGTGGAATGATACAGATTTTAGAAATGTTACAAATTATTTTAAAATTGTACTAAAAAATTTACATATCCAAGTTCCTGTTTTCTCAAGTCCCTCCTCCATTTCTGTGCTCCTGATATAACCTTTACCACACACAAAAAAGATACTCAGAAAATAGAGGATACTTAATAAATTTGTTACAAAATTGTTCTAAACTCTACACTTCATGGAAGGTATAAATTTTAGAACATATACTGTAACAGGAAAAAAATAAACATCTATCAAAAATCTATTTCTACACATCCTTAAATAATGTAACAGGATGGTATAGTAATACTGTATTACATATATTGAGTGTATCTCAAACTACTAATGTCCACTTGGATTCACATGTCAGTAAGTGCAAATACTTTCATCTTTTACCTTTTTTCCTCCCAAAATAAATCAAGTTTTCAAATATCCTGTTTCATAAAAGCTTGTTCTGTAAGAACTATGAAGATAATCACTTTTTTTAATCAATTAAAAAAACATAACGGAGAAGTAGAAGATAACATTCTTACAATTATTTATGATCATGTAAAAAGTATTTGAAGAATATCAGTGGTATTTAACTATTAGTTATTGGTTGGCTAAATATATTTTTAAGGAAGCCATATGTGGTGAGGAATATTTACCTTAATGTTACTCTTTTCAGATAAAATCAGAGCTGATTATGGCAGTTTCCAAAGAAGATTCAACATATATCTTTATAAACTTCATAATTAGTTTACTGAACTTGATAATTTAAAATGTGAAAAGATACATGAAAATTAAATATATTGGTAGGTCACTGGGAACTTATGCAAAAACAATTTCATTCTCAAGATTATAAATCTCCTTTTTTTGTTTCAATTACATAAGATCAGGAAGAAAAAAACAGTGTGGTAAGTTACATAATCTGTATATTCCAAATAATCAACACAACAAAAAGTGTATGGAATTTCAACATAATACTTACAACGTTTTTAAGGCACTGCAGTGTGAAGAATTATTACTTTAAGGAGAGGCAAAGGAATAGTTTAAATGTTAAACTAACATCTTTCAACAGATATGATTAAGATAACCATATGTAATCTAATATTAAAATTCACATCTAACAATGGAAATTTTTTAAAATTAAAAGCATATTTTCTTATCTAAAGTTTTATGAGATCCTTGGCACGTGAATTTAGCATTCCAACTAAAAATAATGTGATTCCCTTAAAACATATTATACAGTGATTTATCATTTTACTGATGAAAGAATTTGAATCATGGTTTGGTAAGTGTACCGGGTCTGACATGTGGGGCATAAGTAAGCGAAGTCAACACTTTGCATCTCGATTTCAGTTTTGCTTTATTATTATTATCCTTTATAATTAATGCAAGTATTGTGATTAATGGTCATCAAGAGAAAAAAAAGTTAATAAAAGAACAAATGTTTAATTTGATATTTGAAAATTTAGATGGAAACAAGTAACTTCCAATACAGACATAAATATGGTAAGAGAAAAAGCTAATACTTATACTTCTCTATTTGTATTCCTTAAAAGTCTCCAGAAGTACTTGCCACAGGTAATCAAAGATCATAGTTTAGTCTCAACTACATTAAACAGAGCAGGGATTAGCAAACTTATTATGTAAAGGGTCAGATAATACTTTAGGCTTTGCCATTAGTTTGCTGTCATAGCTACTAAACTGCGTATGTAGTGCAAAAGCATCCACAGATCTTATGTAAACGAACAGGCATGGCTGTGTTCCAATAAAACTTTATTTACAAAAACAGATGGAAAGCTGGATTTGCCCCACAGTTTCTCACTTTGTTGTTCCTTGATACAGAGTACTGAAAATGAGACCAGATCTTTTATGTTAATGTAAGTGGCAATTCAGTATAGCTGACATATTTTGCTGAGCTGGATCATTCAATATCTAGTTAAAGATTCATCACCAAAAACAGTGGTTTTCAGAAAACTAAATTCAGTGCTACAATAAGTGTATCACTTGCTCTATTACTTAAGAAAACAAAAATAGCACAAACGACCTCCTTTAGAAAAAAAGAAGATAATTTGAAACATATAACAGGCATTTGATTTTCTATATAAAATGGCTTTTTAGGTTCAAGGTACTAGCAGAATTTGCAACATATAAACACTACTGGTTTAATAAGCACTTAAAGTAATGGTACCATCTGAAATATAGCTGGCAAACTGTAAGTTAATACGTCATTAATATGAGGTTTACAATTATACAAAAGAATAGCAACCTTTCAGAAAGATCTAAATTATGTCTACAACAGTATAACTAGACATAGTCATGATAATTAGTAAGAATTTTGCTGAAGTAAATGTCCATGGGCTCAAGTTTCAATTGATTTCCTATACTATGCAAATTCTGACTGACAACCTTGCACTCTAGGTGAAAAAACCCATGTATGAAATGTCACATTTCTTGATTTATCCCTAAATCAGTCAATATCAGATCTTTCTTTTTGTGACCTGTATTCACTTTGTTCAATGGGAGGAAGCTTCACTTTAACCCCAAATGATAAAAAGAATGAGTGATCAGCTAATCAGAAAATTCTAAATGGTTTTTTATTCTATAAGTCTCATTTTTAAATAGTGCCACCTTATTATATTAAAAAAATATACTAACAATAGCACAGATTGAAAAAAGATACCATTTATCTCAAAAGTTAGAATATATACACACAATCATGTCTATATTACTATGTAAGTAATATATATGTACACAAAGTAAGTATATGTAAATAATTTTAACTTGAATCCCTTTTAGTTTGCTCCTTGTTTAGGATAAAAGTGAAAAAGCACTGAAGATTGAAGGGATAAAGGAAAGCAGAGATGTGGCAGAAGAGTAAGACAAGACAGACATTACAACAGAAAGATGGAAAGTAGATCAGAAGTGGCGACGGGGATGAGAGAAAAAAGAAGACAGAAGGAATTAAATATTACACAGAGCAAAAAATGAGGAATTCAAAAGGGGATGTGAAATAATGTATATAATTTCAACTCAGATTGTATGCCTCTAAATACACCTTTCAATCAAAGCTTAGTTATAAATTGGTTCTGTCTTTTTTTTTAATTAAGATATTATTGATATACACTCTTATGAAGGTTTTACAAGAAAAACAATGTGGTCACTACATTTCCCTGCATTACCAAGTTCCCACTCATACCCCATTGCAGTCACTGTCCATCAGTGTAGTAAAATGCCAGATTCACTATTTTCTTTCTCTGTGCTACACTGCATTCCCTGTGAAACCTCACACCATGTATACTAAACATAATACCCCTTAATCCCCTTCTCCCTCCCTCCCTCCCTGCCTTCTCACACCCCTCCTTTTTGGTAAGCGCTAGTCCCTTCTTGGAGTCTGTGAGTTGCTATTTTGTTCCTTCAGTTTTTTTTTGTCTCATTTTTTTAATTAGTTTTATTTTGGTATCAATAATCTACAATTACATGAAGGACATTGTTTACTAGGCTCCCCCCTTCACCAAGTCCCTCCCACATACCCGTTCACAGTCACTGTCCATCAACATAGCATGATGCTGCAAAATCACTACTTGTCTTCTCTGTGTTGCACAGCCCTCCCAGTGCCTCCCCCATACTACACATGTTAATTGTAATGCCCCCTTTCTTTTTACCCACCCTTATCCCTCCCTTCCCACCTGTCCTCCCCAGTCCCTTTCCCTTTGGTAACTGTTAGTCCATTCTGGGGTTCTGTGCTTCTGCTGCTGTTTTGTTCCTTCAGTTTTTCTTTTGTTCCTATACTCCACATATGGGTGAAATCATTTGGTACTTGTCTTTCTCCGAATGGCTTATTTCACTGAGGATTAATACCCTCTAGTTCCATCCATGTTGTTCCAAATGGTAGTATCTGTTTTTTTCTTATAGCTGAGTAATATTCCATTGTGTATATGTACCACATCTTCTTTATCCATTCATCTACTGAT